GAAGATAAAGATGAGCAAAGTGTGGTAAAAAAACATTCAACTCTTACTTACTAAATCACTTGTATGATGTAACACCTCCAACCCGTATCCGACCCGGATACGAGTCCAAGATGTCACATTAACCTTTTTAAATCATATACTTGTACAAAATCGTAAAATTTCAACTTATATTAAGTAAAACAACATTATTTGCATAAATAATACTAAAGAGTTTACAAACCCAATCAGAGCATGTCTGACTCAAATCTTTAATTACAAGCCAACTACATTCATTATTACAAAATACATACGATTCAATTTTTTCTGATATGATCTTTGGAAAGGAGAAGCTAACCTGACCTGCCTATTTATGCTCCTTTTCTCTTATCGGAACCTACATGTGAAAACACTCACACGCTAAGTCACAGACTTAGTGAGGCATATAAAACTTATAATGGAAACTTAAATACATAACAATAGAAGAACATTTCATACAAAATCATATAACATTTCATACAACAAATACATACATGCACATATATCATCATTATCATCATTATTAACATTCTTATCATTATCAATATTATTATCATTAATCTCTTTAATCATACAATCTTGTATTTAACATTTATACACATCATATAAATCATTTCACAAAGCAAAACTCATCATATCATATACAATTTATTTATGTTATCTCTTTTAATAGCCCACAGTATACTTTTGAGAATTAAAGATATGTGAGTGCATTGAGGTTGTGCATAAATGTTGTCACCACAGCTCGTATAATTTGTACTGAGTGCCATATAAAATGTCCTAAAGGACCTCGTAGAATTATCTCGAAGGACCGCATATATATACCAAAGGATCACGTAGAACCCTCGACTCTTGGCATGCCAACTATACCCCTAGCTCTCATATCACATAACATGGGCATTATCATTTATATTTGTCACATATTCACATAGTCACATAAACCATCACATAAATTATATCATTTCACATGTAATCACATGGGTCCTGTCTCATAGCATATATCACATGTGAATATAATCACTTATATCGTATCATATAACTTATGTCACATTCTCATATGGTCACATAGATCATATCACATAACTTATATATTTTTCTCACATCTTCATATAAAATCATATCACATATAACTCCTCATCACATAGCTTATACAACAGTTTCATATATGCACATAATTTAGTTTTATATATCTTATATCACATGTTCATTTAATAGTTTATGTCAATAGCACATAGCTTATTTTACTTTTTCACTTAATCATATAATTCCATTATACCAATTCATATAAATTATCACACAATCATGTATTTACTTGGCCCATAATCATATAGTTTATTTCTTATTCTCATATATACATACAGATCATGGTCACATAGGATAACATATAACACATAGACATATAATTGTATTCTTGGACTCATGCAGTGGAAACATTGGAAATAGACTCATCGCAAGTCTTATTTCCATAAAACATCATATACGTATTAGTATGCACTCACCTGGCCTCACTAGTTAAAGCAATACTCTGAATTCTCACTTGATCCATCTTATCTCATCAACTCGTCTAGTACTTGCCTTTAATCAATATCTACACAATACATATAATTGATATGAATGTCTTAATTCAAGTTACCATTAATCAATCACATATAACATAAGCTATACAAAGTACTTAATACACAATTTCCATATGAGTAGTATCGGTATCAAAGGTACATCACTAATACGTCTATACTATGGTATCAATACTACACTTCAGTATCGACACCCAATTTTAATTCTGCAAATTATCTTTAAAATGGTACCGATACTTGCTCAATGGTATCGATACCCCTTGAATCGATACTACTCCTTCGGTATCGATACTTCTTGAATGTTTTATCAACTTTTGGCTTATGGTATCGATATTGTTCATCCAGTATCGATACTCCTACCTAATATCATCCATTTTCTCTTTGAAGTATTGATATTGGATGAACATTATCGATACCCCTTGCCTAGAACTTTCTTATTTTAACCCGAAAATTAACTAAACTTACTTAAATATTCCTCTTTAACCTCTTTTTAAACCTTTAAACTATAGCATACTTATTAAAACTAACTTACAACACTTTAACACACTCTAACATCCAAAATTCCCATTGAACACTTAGAACCACAAATCATACCAATTATTCAACATGATCTAAATCCCTTTCTAACACTTTAGATTTCTTATTTTAGCTCATGACAAGTTAAATTTAACCTCAAAATTCACTTACAAACTCTTTCTCAACAATTCACTCAAAAACCCTTTATATTAAATCTCTCATAACTTATCCATGATTGAGTTTAAAGCAACCTTAAGCTTTCCTTAAGCTTTCATAACACTTTAGGAATCAAAACCATTCATAAATTGAATGAAATAACCAACTAGAAAAGAATCTCACCTTAGCTATGAAGCTCACGTTGAGAGGAAGAAGAAGTATGAAGAGTTTTCTAGAAACCTTTTTCTCTTCCCCACCTTATCTCCACGTGGCTATATAAACTAACCATAACCAATTTTTTATTAATTTACTTGTCAAATAACCACTATGCCCTTCCAACCATCATTCTTTGCTATACAGTCCTACACCAAGATTTTCCAATTAAGTCCCTAAACTTTTCAATTTTTTAAAATTGAGCACAAAATTTCAAAAACTTACATTTTAGTTACTAGCCCAGTTTTTGGGATGTTACATATGACCTAAGAAAAAATAAAAAAAATCAGTCTTATTTCATAAATGGATTATTTACTCATATGATCCTCCTCCTTTGATCTCAACTCAAAAATCTATTTTTCATGACCATTCAAGCTCAAAACTTATCCGATTAAGTTCACATTTTATGTAACGATTTTAATCACTCTCTCATATCGGTCCATAGATCCCTCATGTCAACTCTCATGCGTTGACTAGAAAATTCGGATTGTTACACACAATGTATTGACACGTGTCGCTAACAAAATTATGATAGGTGATCAAAATGAAAACAACATATAATTTTAGTGGTTATTTTACAATTTTTAAATTTTTAAATTTTAGTGACCAAAATAATTTGTTATAATCGAACAATCAACTGTTTAATTTACTAGAAAATTGAAAGAAGTTTATTAAAAGATGTATTTAAAATGAGATCTATTACTAACTGGTGAAGTGATCAATGATGCTTATGTTATCTCATCATGTGTAGATTCGGACCACAACATTTGCTTTGAAAATGTAATACTTCACTTCTTAATAAAAATGATGTATTTAAGATTATTAAATATTCATATAAATTTTTTTATGTAAATAAATTCTTCTAGATTTATTAAATTATCAATTTTTAAAAACTAATATTTTAGCCTCGGTGGTAAAGGGAATGTTATTCTATCTTGGAGTCATGGGTTGAAACGTATTACCTTATAATCATCCTAAATTATTTAAAAAATTAATATTTTAATTTGATTAACATGCATAACAATGTAATTAGAGATCAGATAAAACTTCGAGTATAATTATAAATAGTAATAAAATAGGATTAGGTTTAATTCTTAAGTTGTTAATTTAAAATTTAAACATTAAGAAGTTAGACTCGTATACTTCAATATAATTTTGAGATTAAAAACATAAATAAGAAGTAGTACACTGAGAACTCATAATATAATTTTGGTTGATTTTGAGATTGATAAGAAATACTTAAATTAAAAGTAAAAAGTATAGATTAAGATCTACTTACACAATATAAAATTATTTATTAGGATCGTTGGATGAGTGAAAATAAATTTCTTAGATCGGCTCCTTGTTTATTCTTTCCAATGAATTATATTCTCATTTCCGACAGTTAATCTCAGTGATATATTTTCATTCATCTAAATGTCCTAAATCTATATAAAATTAAAAGAGTTTTACATTATATAACAGGATATTATCTCAAAAGTTATACTCAATTTATCTAATTATAGAATCGATAAGTATTTAAATCGAAAAAATATAAGATAATAATATTTAATTTTTGTAGTTTCAAACTTTAGAAAAATTTACGAAGTAGTTTGACGAAAAAGAATACTAGAGAAGAGGAATCTTCCACTATACACGTAATTCTAGCAATAAATTTAAAAATATTTTCTTAGGATGAACAAATATATATTTATAATATAAAATTTGTATGTATGTGAATATAGATAAAATTTTAAGATGAATATAATCAATAAAAATAAATAATTAACTGAAGAAAATTTAAATTTCAAAATAGATTAGATTAAATGTAGTTCTGCCACATTGGAGTTTCATCTGTAGGGATAACGTAGTTGTCATGGTTATTCACTTCCATTAACTTATAAAATAAAGTACAAAAATAGTCATTAACTATTAAATATTGGTTTATTGTGTTTCATGACTATTATAAATTATAAATTGATCCTCTAACTATAGACACTATTTTATTGAGTTCACTGACTATTAAAAGTTACAAAATTATCACTCAACTATTCATTTGTTCTAAACTCATCATTTTCGTTAAAAAAATGACGCCTATCTAAATTGAACATTAACTTGGTGACTAAGATTAGATCCACAAAATACAATTAAAACGATTTTGAGATTATATTTTATCATATATCAGTCAACATGTTAACATTCATCTCAGACAACCACCAAATTTTTAATAGAAAAAAGTCGAGTTTAGAACAAATGAATAAAAAAATAACCAATTTTATATTTTAATAGTCAGAGGACTCAACAAAATAGTGTCCTATAGTTAGAGAACCATTTAATAACTTTTAATAGTCGAGGAAATTAACAAAAAACACCCTATAGTCAGATGACCATTTGTGTAATTTACCCTAACTTATAATACGTCAATGAAATTATTTATAGCTTAACGATAAATTTGAGATCTTTTTTAAATCTATTTCGATTAACAGTTTAAACAAACATTATAAGGATTATAGAGTGATACGGCTTCAGTTTATTTTGAACTTCTAATATAAACAATAAAGACTTTGAAGCTTAATCATGAAAGCTTGAGTGAGACAATGGATGTTTGAAATTGTGTAGCATCCTCCACCATCTACCTACACTGAGTACAACAGAAATCAATACACTCGAAACATTCGGTTTCCGTAGCGATTTACTCGGGTTTCCGGCAGGTAATGATGGCGAACTTGATCACACCCTTCCGGTATCCTTGGATCATCAATGGCATCACCAATGCACCTTTGATGGTCTTTAATCCTAATAACACCAATCCACAGTAAAGAGTAACATCAAGCTATGCTCATATCAGCTTGTTTAACAATATATTGAAGGCTTAAACATAGTTACCACTACGTAGCAGCGATATGAAACCCTTCCATGTAAACGCCGACCGTATCACTGCCGGCCAGAACGGGGAAACATGCTCAGACCAATCAGCAGCCCTCACATCCTGCAAGTGTAACTTGTGAAAATGAACAAAACAGTCGAATCACCGATAGGGTTTTAGCCGATTCGAGGAAATAAATTTACCAGGAGGGAGAGGGACTGAAGAAGTTTGACATAATCAGAAGTAGAACACCACTCAGGTAAATAATAAGCATTGCATATCCTGTTTAGCAGCTTTTTCTCCCATGGCTGCAAAGACTCTTCGGATGGACCAAGATCCCTATGGCACCATGTCACTATTATTATAGTGCCTCCCGGTGCTGCAACTCGAGCCAACTCATTGACAAACTGCTAGTATTAGATACAAGGAATAAATTAATCAAGAATATGGATCTCGGGTGAACAAAATTTGACTAAATTCGAATTGACTTGACTCATAATTTTATAAGTTCGACTCGAAAAATATCAAATTCGAGTCGAGTTATAAAATAGAACTCGAATAACTCGAATTTTTTAGTAAATAGTGGATTGCTTTTTGAGTTTATATTAAGTCTCTCAACTCTGTATGATATATATATATATAGCATATAAAAAATATGAAAAAATATGCATATATATGGTTATAGAAAATCATTTAAACTGAAATCAAATAGTACTATAATATTATCATTATTTATAATTAAATTTAAACAAGAACTCGAACAACTCGAAAAAAATTTAAATAAAGTTTGAATTATAAAATAAGACTAGTCAATTTAAATAACTCAAAATTTTCTGACTAGATTCGATCAAACACTCACTCCTAATCCAATAATAAGAAAATACCAGCAAGCAAATTATAGGCTAGTATGCCATAAAATAAACCTTTGCTTTTTCAGGCATGTGTTCTCCACTTTCCATAGACCAAACTAGATCAAATTGGCCATCAGGGAACGGTTGCGTCAAAGCATCTGCAACTTGAAAAGAAGTCTACAAATATGACACAATGGTAATGAGTCATTAAGCTTGAAACGAAGTACGAACCAAGTCACTCTTGTGTTTAAAGGTATAATTGTTATTTTTAGAGGTTCTATGTTTAAATACATTATTTACAGGAATGTTTGAGTTTTTATTATCAAATAATTTAAAATATTTTAAACAGATACTATCTTATAATTAACTCAAACTAATAAAAAAATAAAACTTGAAATGCAGAAAACTAGGGATGGCAATAAGTCGAATTTTAGGTCAACCTAACTCTATGTATACATCCATCAGAACTCGACCCGACCCGACCTGAAAAATATATATTCCACCCAACCCAAATAGCATATTTCCTCCACCCGAACTTGATCCGATCCATTTTTTAGTGTATAAATCCAATCCGACCTGATCCAACCCAATACTAAATAAAGAACTAATTAAAAAAACTATAGAGAGAGGCGTCTTATAGCAATTATTCATAAATTTATATGAAAAATTACACTATTATTCTCAGGTCGGGTCGGGTCGAAGATTTTTCACCCTCCACCCGAACCCAACTCGACCCGACCTTATTCTTATATAAAATCCGACACTATCAGATTGGATCAGATCAAAATCTATCAGTTTCAAATTAAATTGTCATCTCTACGTAAAACTGAGGATTTTGCACATATTATGAGATACCATGTCTGCAAGTCCTTCATCTTTAGCAATAACATTGGCCCTTTCAGCTTGAACTGTAACCCCCCAAGACCCGGTCTGTGAGTTAGACCCAAACCTAAGTGGTCACATATCCCATTCAGAGGTTTTTTTTTTTTTTATATATATATAACTTATAGAACGTTAAATATAATATAGAACATAATATTAATAATACAAATATGTCCAAAACAATAATAAAATACATGTCACCAAACATAACCGAAAAACATACAGAAATATATGTTCGTACAAAATAAAGTAGTTGATTTCTCCTGATGCCAAATCTGCTAGCTTACGGTCTGCTGTTATCTGAAAAATGTTAAAATTTACAGAATGAGCTAAAAAGCCCAGTGTGTTTCATACAGCGTACAAAAACATATTAATAAGATATTATCAATAAAAATCGATTTATGCAACATGTTTTTTTTTTAAATATGAACACTACCCCCATCCGTCACGAACAAATTGTGTAGGTTCCCATAACCATACACCCCGTCACGACCAGTAAGGCCCTGAGCACAAAGCCGAGGAGCCTGCAATATTTTCTTCCTCCAACAATTCTTTCCTCCCCAATGACATTAATAAACAAATATGTATTCGAGTAAAAATGGTGATTAATCCATTAAAACATGAAAATGGATCATGCTTGAAAATCATATACAGAAATACGGTAATCAGATGTCGGTAACCATTATTCAGAAATCAGATATCATGTATCATGTCATAACAATATTTTGAATAATCACCATTCTGGAATAATTCAAATAATATTTAAAACAGTAAAACAACACTGTCAGGAAACACACCTGTCACACTCTGAGAAATCGGATAGGGAATCCTACTATTGGGTTTGTCGATCACGTTCTGCTGCAGCGCTAGATCCTACGAATTAGAAAAAAAAATCCATATTGGAATCCTAATATAAATAATCTAAATATTATTTAAATAATATACGGAAACCTACTGGTAATTCTCGTAGTACGCGGTTCAGGCTGATCTAACGAACGGATAATACCGGACCTAATTGATCCTTGCTCAGGTGAAACACGAGTACCTTCATAAAATATTTTATTGAGTAAATCCTTGACCAAATCTCATTTAAATAATCAAAATATTAAAATATTAAGCCTTTTGGGTTTACAAGCTCGATTCGGGAATTTCGGATCAGAATTTGGCAAAACGGACTTCGAAATCAAATTCAGGACGTCGAAAAACATAAAGTATGACCTTCCGAAATTTCGAATTCTTGGTCAAAAATAAAGTCAACGGGTTTGACTGACGATTTGGAGACTTTCGGGTTTGAATTTAGTAAAACGGACCCCATAAACGGATTCAGGACGTCGAAAACTATCAGGATAGGTATTTGTGGACGAAAACAAAGGTCGTTTAATAGCCGGTCAAAGCCGGTCAAAGTTCTGGTCAAAGGAGGTCAACAAACTGTCAAACATTTTACACAAATAGCACCCTTTTTAAAAAAATTTACCAAACTAGCACCCATTTCGAATTAATTCTCATAATAGCACCAAAACCGAATTAATTCCCATAATAGCACCGGTCAACGGTCAACGGGTCGGGTCGGGTCAACGGGTCGGGTCAACGGGTCGTGACCGGTCAAACCGGTCAAAACCGGTTCAAAACCGGTTAAACCGGTCAAAACCGGTTTCCAGCGTTCACTCGCCTGCGGCGGCGCGTGTGGGCGCGTGCGACGTCCTCCGGGGCTCTAAAAATCACGGAAAAATTTCTAAAAATTATTTTGAGCGATTTCGAGATACTTACAAAGATCGGTTCAAATTTTTGAACGGCGGAGAGCTCGATTTCGACTCGGCCGAATCTTTGACTGATCCACCTCCCCACGCGCCGCCGTCAACGGAGATCGAGGATGACACCGGCGGACTCGGAACGGCACAAGGAACACGATGGTGCGGGAGGTGTCGTAAAAGGAGCAACGATCGACGATGAATTTAGGATTTTCTAGGCGATTGAGCTTAAAAAAAAACGTCGATGCTTTGACTTGAAATTCACGACGTTTGGCAGCGTTTCGCTTCAATTAAATTGAGGGGATTGTTCCTGACTCGATAACGAACACGATGGTACTTTCAAAACGACAATCGGAATTCGGACGGTGTCAGAATCGTCGTCGGAAGTTGAGGTGCGTGGGGTAAAAACTTAACAAATTGTTCTGTTATGAAACCAGAATCAATTTGCACGCATATAAGAAAAAAAATCTGCCGACACTCCTTGGAAATATTCAGTGATTGGTCATTGAATTTCCTCCACTTTTTAAAATAGGCTACAAGTTTTAAAACTTCCAATTAAATCCTCAAATTTCACCAATTAACTTAATTAAAACCTCAAATTACAATTATATATTTTTTTCCATTTTCCGGGTTGTTACAATTCTCCCCCTCTACAAAAATTTCGTCCTCGAAATTTAACTTATGAAAATAGATGCGGAAATTGAAGCTCCATTGACTCCAACGTCTCCCAAGTAGCTTCTGAGGGGCTACGATTACTCCACTGCACTTTGACCATTGGAATACGCCTATTCCGAAGAACTCGCTCATCCCTCTCTAAAACCTGAACAGGCTCCTCCTCATATGACAAATCAGGTCTCAGCTCTACCTCATCAACCTGAATGATGTGATCTGGATCTGGACGGTATCGCCTCAACATAGAAACATGAAAAACATCATGAATACGACTGAGCTGGGAAGGCAACTCAAGCTGATAAGCAACAGGTCCAACTTTCTTCAGAATACGATACGGCCCAATAAATCGCGGACTCAGTTTACCTTTACGTCCAAATCTCAATACTTTCTTCCATGGAGATACCTTGAGAAAAACCTGATCTCCAACCTCAAACTCGATATCCTTACGTCGCTTATCTGCGTATGACTTCTGCCTATCAAATGCCTCTCTTAAGCGATCACGGATCAGTCTGACAGTATCTTCAGTCTCTCGAACCAAGTCTGGACCCAAAGTTTTTCTATCATGCAACTCTGTCCAACATATAGGAGTACGACATCTACGGCCATACAGAGCCTCGTACGGTGCCATGCGAATACTCGCCTGATAACTATTATTGTAAGCAAACTCAGCTAACGGCAAGAAATCTTCCCAACTACCACGAAAATCAATCACACAACCCCGTAACATATCCTCCAACACCTGAATCACTCGCTCAGACTGTCCATCAGTTTGAGGATGAAAAGCTATACTGAAATTCAAACGAGTACCCAGAGCCTCGTGCAAAGCTTTCCAGAACCTGGAAGTGAATCTCGGATCTCGATCAGATATGATAGACAACGGAACACCATGAAGTCTAACGATCTCAGAAATATACAACTTAGCCAGTTTATCCAGAGAATAATTAACCCGAATAGGGATAAAGTGCGCTGACTTGGTGAGTCGATCAACAATCACCCAGATAGAATCCTTTTTGGAAGGAGTTAGAGGAAGACCAGTAACGAAGTCCATCGTAATACGCTCCCATTTCCACTCAGGAATCTTAATTGACTGTAACAATCCAGACGGATGCTGGTGCTCTGCCTTAACCTGCTGACAAGTCAAACACCTTGCCACAAAATCTGAAATATTCTTCTTCATACCAGTCCAAAGTAGCGCTCTTTGAGATTATTGTACATTTTGTCCCCACCAGGATGCATAGCATAAAGACTATTATGAGCCTCCTGAAGAATAATCTGTCTCAACTCATCATCTTTAGGGACGCAGTAACGACCGTGAAAACACAAAATACCATCCTGGTCCACAGTATACTCCGAACTCGATCCTTGCTTAACTTGTTCAATAATGGAAAGCAACGAGTTATCAAGGAGTTGTTTAGCCTTAATCTCCTCGGCTAAAGTAGGTTTAACCTGTAACTCTGCTAACAAACTATTATCATCAAATAAGCTCAAGTTGGCAAATAAGGCTCTGAGATCTGATATCGCCTTACGGCTCAAGGCGTCTGCCACTACATTAGCCTTCCCTGGATGATATTCTATCTCAAAATCATAGTCCTTTAAAAGCTCCAACCAGCGACGCTGTCTCAAATTTAATTCTTTCTGAGTAAGCAGATATTTCAGACTCTTATGATCAGTATATATATAACACTTTTCTCCGTAGAGGTAGTGTCTCCAGATCTTTAAAGCAAAAACCACCGCAGCTAATTCCAGATCGTGAGTAGGATAATTACGCTCATGCGGCCTTAACTGACGTGACGCATAAGCGACAACCTTCTTCTCTTGCATCAAAACACATCCTAATCCAGAATGAGAAGCATCACTGTAGACAGAAAAATCCTTCCCAGATTCAGGCTGAATCAACACTGGGGCTTGAGTTAAAACAGTCTTCAATTTCTCAAAGCTAGCTTGTTGGTCATCAGACCAGACAAATGGAACATCTTTCCTCAATAGTTTCGTCAGAGGAGCTGCAATAAGGGAGAACCCCTCAACGAAACGACGGTAGTAACCAGCTAAGCCCAAGAAACTACGGATCTCAGAGATGTTTCTGGATTGCTTCCAGTTCATAATAGCCTCCACTTTGCTCGGATCTACCTGAATACCATCAGCAGAGACGATATGTCCAAGAAAAGTCACTTCGCTGAGCCAGAATTCACACTTGCTCAACTTAGCGTATAGCTTATTCTCCCTTAGAGTCTGAAGAACAATCCTTAAATGCTCCTCATGTTCTGCTTCACTTCTAGAATACACCAGTATGTCATCAATGAATACAACTACAAACTGGTCCAAATAAGGTCGAAATACCCTATGCATCAGATCCATAAAAGCAGCAGGGGCATTAGTTAACCCGAATGACATCACTAAAAACTCATAATGCCCATATCGAGTACGGAAAGCAGTCTTCGGAATATCCGAATCTTTCAATTTAAGTTGATAATAACCAGATCTTAAGTCTATCTTTGAAAAGATAGAAGCCCCTCGAAATTGGTCAAATAGATCGTCGATTCTGGGCAGAGGATATTTGTTTTTCACCGTGAGCTTGTTTAGTTTCCTATAATCGATACAGAGTCTCAACGTCCCATCTTTCTTCTTGACAAAGAGAACTGGGGCTCCCCACGGTGATACACTGGGTCGGATAAATCCCCTGTCCAACAACTCCTGGAGTTGGATTTTCAGTTCTTTAAGCTCCTTTGGGGCCATACGATAAGGAGCCATTGAAACTGGGGTGGAACCAGAATAGACTTCAATCACAAACTCGACTTCTCTATCTGGAGGTAATCCAGGCAACTCCTCGGGAAAAACATCGGGAAATTCCTTGACAATTCGGATGCCTTCAATATCGGATTGCGATCTCCTAGTGTCCAAATATAAGCAAGAAACGCCTTGGAACCCTTCCTGATCATCTTCTCCTCTACTAAAGTAGACACAACATTCGTCAGAAATCCACGTCGTTCCCCGATCATTACAATCTTTCGATTATCTGAGGTCTTCAGAACAGCTCTCTTAGTCTCAAAATCAATATTTACTCGATGTTTGTCCAACCAATCTACGCCGAGAATCAAATCGAACTCTTTAAAGGGTAACTCCATCAGGTCAGCCAGAAAAATCTCCCCATTGATCTCTATAGGGCACTCTCTAAAAATACGATCCAACACGATGGATTGGCCTAAGGGACTTTGAACTATCACTGAACGCTCAGTATTCTCAACAGGAATATTTAGACCCTCAGAAACGGAATGTGATACATAGGAATTTGTAGAGCCACTATCAAACAATGCAAAGTATGGAACTGAATGAATAGTAACAGTACCTGCAGTCACATTAGGCCCATCTCGATCTTGTCGAAGTCTAGCAGTGTAAACCAATGCAGGTTGTCTGGCCTCAGATCTGATTGGACCCCTACTCTGAGATGCTCGGCCTCTATTAGCTGATCCATGTGCTATCTCCTGAGTACGTCCCCGTGCTGGAGTCTGAACTGTACTATGAGAACTAGCGGGAGTACGAGCTGGTGTCTGAACAGAATGAGGTATCTCCGGACAATCCTTCAAATAATGGTCACCAGACCCACATTTATAACAAGTGCCCAATTTCTTCCTGCATTCTCCAAAGTGATTTTTCCCACAATAATCACATGTTGGAAAGGTTTGCGACCCAAAAGAACCACCATGTCTAGAAGACTGAACTGTTGAAGCACCAGATGCTACAGGTCTGACACTTGCACCGCCTCTCTGAAAAGAATCACCCCTGCCTCTCTTGCTAGGATGTGCAGAAGAATTAACAGAACCAGAAGGCCTCCTGAATCGATTCTGGGCTCGATCATTATCTCTCTTGTGCTCTATACCCAATCGCTCTATTTCCTCAGCAGTCTTGGCTATCTCAACCAGGGCGTCAAAATTTCTCTCTCGGTGGGTAACGACTCGACTCCTGATCTCATACCTGAGTCCATTTTCGAACCTCAAGCATCGATCTGTCTCAGTGTCCACAAGTCCAGGAGCATATCGGCTCAATCGGATGAATTCAACCTCATAATCCATAACAGACATATTACCCTGCTCCAGATTCTGAAACTCCTGGCGTCGCTCCTGCAGATATCTCTCTCCGATGTAGCGACTTCGGAAGCGCGTCTTGAAAAGATCCCATGTTAATTGGTTCCTCGGAATACTACCAGAAATGGATTGCCACCATCTGAAGCTTTCTTTCTTCAACATAGTTAGGGCCCCCTTTAACTTTTGCTCAGGTCTGAGGTCCATCTCATCCATAATCCTTTCTGTGTCCTCCAGCCAATACTCAGCGTCTGTCGGAGGTCCACCAGTAATACCCTCGAATGGTACTACACCAGCAGCAACCAGAGAATTTGAAATCTCCACTGCAGTCATGTTACTAGGGGCTCTAGCAGCTCTCTGAAACATGCGGAAGATAGCTCTATTAATGGCGTCTTCATTCATCTCAGAATCCTCATCTTCAGTGATGGGAGGGTCTCTCATAGGAGTAAACTGATCATCATGAGAAAGAGTCGGATCTACTTGCGGAACAGGAGGATCACGTGCTGACATCGGATCTTCTATCGTAACAGAAGGTCGAGTGACTCGCCCTCTACCACGTCCACGTCCTGTCCTACGACCTCTAGCAGTATTCATCGTTGGATCTATAAGGCTCTACATAAGAATTTGAAACATATGTCAGATTAGCATCAGGGATCTCGATAAAACTTTAAATCATAACATAAGGTGACATTTTTTTTTATAAAAAATTCAAAGTTTAGGACCCATATACAGTCCGAGTGTTTAAAACCGAAGGCTCTGATACCACCAAATGTAACCCCCCAAGACCCGGTCTGTGAGTTAGACCCAAACCTAAGTGGTCACATATCCCATTCAGAGGTTTTTTTTTTTTTATATATATAACTTATAGAACGTTAATATAGAACATAATATTAATAATACAAATATGTCCAAAACAATAATAAAATACATGTCACCAAACATAACCGAAAAACATACAGAAATATATGTTCGTACAAAATAAAGTAGTTGATTTCTCCTGATGCCAAATCTGCTAGCTTACGGTCTGCTGTTATCTGAAAAATGTTAAAATTTACAGAATGAGCTAAAAAGCCCAGTGTGTTCCATACAACGTACAAAAACATATTAATAAGATATTATCAATAAAAATCGATTTATGCAACATGTTTTTTTTAAATATGAACACTACCCCCATCCGTCACGAACAAATTGTGTAGGTTCCCATAACCATACACCCCGTCACGACCAGTAAGGCCCTGAGCACAAAGCCGAGGAGCCTGCAATATTTTCTTCCTCCAACAATTCTTTCCTCCCCAATGACATTAATAAACAAATATGTATTCGAGTAAAAATGGTGATTAATCCATTAAAACATGAAAATGGATCATGCTTGAAAATCATATACAGAAATACGGTAATCAGATGTCGGTAACCATTATTCAGAAATCAGATATCATGTATCATGTCATAACAATATTTTGAATAATCACCATTCTGGAATAATTCAAATAATATTTAAAACAGTAAAACAACACTGTCAGGAAACACACCTGTCACACTCTGAGAAATCGGATAGGGAATCCTACTATTGGGTTTGTCGATCACGTTCTGCTGCAGCGCTAGATCCTACGAATTAGAAAAAAAAATCCATATTGGAATCCTAATATAAATAATCTAAATATTATTTAAATAATATACGGAAACCTACTGGTAATTCTCGTAGTACGCGGTTCAGGCTGATCTAACGAACGGATAATACCGGACCTAATTGATCCTTGCTCAGGTGAAACACGAGTACCTTCATAAAATATTTTATTGAGTAAATCCTTGACCAAATCTCATTTAAATAATCAAAATATTAAAATATTAAGCCTTTTGGGTTTACAAGCTCGATTCGGGAATTTCGGATCAGAATTTGGCAAAACGGACTTCGAAATCAAATTCAGGACGTCGAAAAACATAAAGTATGACCTTCCGAAATTTCGAATTCTTGGTCAAAAATAAAGTCAACGGGTTTGACTGACGATTTGGAGACTTTCTGGTTTGAATTTAGTAAAACGGACCCCATAAACGGATTCGGGACGTCGAAAACTATCAGGGTAGGTATTTGTGGACGAAAACAAAGGTCGTTTAATAGCCGGTCAAAGCTGGTCAAAGTTCTGGTCAAAGGAGGTCAACAAACTGTCAAACATTTTACACAAATAGCACCCTTTTTAAAAAAATTTACCAAAATAGCACCCATTTCGAATTAATTCTCATAATAGCACCAAAACCGAATTAATTCCCATAATAGCACCGGTCAACGGTCAACGGGTCGGGTCGGGTCAACGGGTCGGGTCAACGGGTCGGGTCGGGTCAACGGGTCGGGTCAACGGGTCGTGATCGGTCAAACCGGTCAAAACCGGTTAAACCGGTCAAAACCGGTTTCCAGCGTTCACTCGCCTGCGGCGGCGCGTGTGGGCGCGTGCGACGTCCTCCGGGGCTCTAAAAATCACGGAAAAATTTCTAAAAATTATTTTGAGCGATTTCGAGATACTTACAAAGATCGGTTCAAATTTTTGAACGGCGGAGAGCTCGATTTCGACTCGGCCGAATCTTTGACTGATCCACCTCCCCACGCGCCGCCGTCAACGGAGATCGAGGATGACACCGGCGGACTCGGAACGGCACAAGGAACACGATGGTGCGGGAGGTGTCGTAAAAGGAGCAACGATCGACGATGAATTTAGGATTTTCTAGGCGATTGAGCTTAAAAAAACGTCGATGCTTTGACTTGAAATTCACGACGTTTGGCATCGTTTCGCTTCAATTAAATTGAGGGGATTGTTCCTGACTCGATAACGAACACGATGGTACTTTCAAAACGACAATCGGAATTCGGACGGTGTCAGAATCGTCGTCGGAAGTTGAGGTGCGTGGGGTAAAAACTTAACAAATTGTTCTGTTATGAAACCAGAATCAATTTGCACGCATATAAGAAAAAAAATCTGCCGACACTCCTTGGAAATATTCAGTGATTGGTCATTGAATTTCCTCCACTTTTTAAAATAGGCTACAAGTTTTAAAACTTCCAATTAAATCCTCAAATTTCACCAATTAACTTAATTAAAACCTCAAATTACAATTATATATTTTTTTCCATTTTCCGGGTTGTTACATGAACAGGGCTCAAAGTAATGCCTTGACATTTTGCTCCAAATTTCCTGGCTAAGTATCTGGAGCTGCCTCCTATGCCACACCCAACATCAACTATTGTCTTGGGCTGCTTTTCTGGGTCATCTGAAAAGCCAATTCAGAGGTAAAATGCATTGTTACAGGGCCATCTTCATTCTTTGTACCACTAATAAAGTGAAACCATAACATTTAAAGTTGAGAACTAAAATCCAAAAATATAAAAGTGATATTTCCTGTAATTTACCCAAAAAGAAAATAATAAGGAAGATACGAAGGACTAGTGTGGTGGAAACATTCATGATCCCTCTTTGATCAATTAGGTGTGAAGTAAAAAAGAAGAAGAAAATCATAAGAAAGATATGAAGGGCGTCCGTGATGGGAAGGTGTGGGGTTGCAAATTTCTTTTAATCGCTCTGCAATTTCTGATGATTTGGATGTATCATTGTCTTTTTCACCAAAACTCAACATTGAATTGGGCCCATCACACTACATTGTAAAATTTACAATAAGAAAAAAAAACCCCTTTAAAAATGCTTTATACTTTTTTTATAACTATCATAATTTAATTTATTAATTAAATAATCTGAATCAACATAAATAAAATTTCAAGTGGATAATATCAATGAAATAAATAATTAATTGAAGGAAATTCAGATTTTAGGTGGGCACGTACCCATCTTCACCAAACTATGATACAGTTATTCAAACACAGAATCCCTAGAGAAATATTAAAACTTAGTAGTTTTTTAATTTTAATTTGCTTTTTAATAAATAAACGTGACCCCGTCTATTTTGGTTTGTCGGTCTCCGCCTAGGATGTATCGGTCTCCTCCACCCCCGTAACTACATTCATTATTTTCATCTTTATAGGATAAATTTCGAATTTAGTCATTAATATATCATCATTGTTTCGTTTAGGTCACTAATTACTTTTTTAAAATTATACCTAATGTTATATTTATATTCTATTTTGAACATCAATCATTAAAACATAAATACAATTGTTGACATGGTTTTTTAATAATTATGTGACATTATCTTATGTTGACACATCAACATCACTGTAAATATTTTAATGGAAGATGACTAAAATATAATGTTAGATATGATTTGAAAAAAATAATAATTAGGTGAGCAAAATGAAACTAGGAAAATAAATAGGTGACTAAATATATAGTTTACTCTAAATACTAACTATCCACTTAAATTAAGTTAATCTTTTGAGGAGAAAATTATTATTATAATAAATTATTTAATCTTTCTATAAATATTAAAAGTTAGTAAATTTGAATTTTGAACTCATCAAATAACCTCTGTGCTCTAAATCATGTAAAAAATCAATAATCAATATTTTTTTAATAAAAAAGCAATTGTTTGAAAACATTAGTATTTCTTAAAAAAATAAAAAATATTTTATATTTATGAACAACAAGTTAATGTAGTTAATGTAGTAGTAGGATGTGACACTAAATTTCATAAATATGATCATAATTTAAAACTTACTATCATTAATGAAAGAAGTAATAGATATAATAAAAGATTAGTTTAAAGCTTAATTACTTGCTTTTCTGTTACATCCAAATTTATCAAAAAATTTTAATATTAAAGGATGATTATAACATAATATTTATTTATATTTTCGTTTAATTATTGTTTATATACACTTTATAGAGGAACTTTATAGATATAGTTCATCGAACCATCCTAGATTCAGAAATTATGGGGTTTAGATGCATACGAAGCTTAGAAGATTCGTTATTAGTTTAAAAAATTATAGAAAATATTAGAATTTTAGTTTTCTTTTGGTGTTAAGAAGTTGAATATTTTAAAAAGAGAGATTAATGAAAAAATAAGGCTAAATTATTTTTAAAATTAACTTTTAAGTACTTTAAGAACTTTTGTTAAAAATATATATCTAATACTTTTGAGTTATACATTTAGATGTATGCGGTTAAATTTGACCATTAAATGATACGTTGGAAAATTATATCGGACACATGTCACTTAACAACTGAAGTTAATGATGTTAATAGTTTAAACACCTAAAGGTGTAATGTTGAAAACTTAGGCACTTATTTTTAACCAATTTTTTTAAATACCGAAAATTAACTTTAGATGTAATTTGGACACTTAATTTTACATTAGGGCTAAAAAGAAAAGAAAAGATGACGGCTAAGTGGGCAATCAGGCCAAACAGTAAACAACCCAATACAAAGATGAACGCAATAGACAAAATTGCAGAAACATGTTGGGCTTTCAACCACTGAATCCAGAAGATCCGCAGTGATTTATTTTCTGTTCATCAGATTAATAGTTTCGACTTCTTTTTACTTTCATTTTGATGACTATATTTCACACAATTGGATAGAAAATACGAACCGGTAATCCCAGCGAAACGGAGCGATTCTTCGATCATTCGGATCTGGGCAGCTCGATGATCGGAAGCGGAAACACTGGAAGCGGGATCGTAAAAGCCATGGTGCATGTGGTCTCCCCAAATGTCTTCCCAAAGCCCCGACGACTGGTCGTAAAACTCCGCTATCCCATCCTGCAACGCCATTATCACTCTGCAAGAGTAACAAATGAAATTTAAGTAGAAGAGTCAACGGAAATAGGCTAGTCCAAGAAGGAAGTTTGTATGCGACAGGTGTTTCTTATTTATAATATTTTTAGAAGCTTACAATAATTTCTTTGTCGTAACCGTTTTTCGGCGGAGACAATCGTTTAATTGTTTAAACAGTAACGACTTTTGATTTTGGAAAAATCCGGTGATTTGGAATTAAATTGGATAAAATTGAAAAGAGTCGCCATCAACATTTGGGTTAGGTAGGTCGAATACCTAAAAAAGTCTTTAAATTTTTTTTTTAAGAAAAATCATTTTTTTAAGACAAAAGCTGGTCTGCGTTTACCAAAGATTCGATTAAAACGGGTTCGGGAGTCGGTTACGCGTGGGGAAGGATTAGCACCCCACAGCGCCCAAAATTAGTACTGTGTCGCTTACACTTTGTCGTAAATGGTGAAATTTATGAGTTGAATATAAAGTTAAAATATGATCCGTTTATTAAACATTAATTAATTTGCTTCGAATTAATAACTTAAAGGAGTAAATTCAAAAGGATTGAAATGAAAATAAATGAATATTACAATCCTAAATACAAATAGAAAAAATAAGTATTTAAATTTATAAAGATCAACATAGAAAGAAAAAAAACTTTAAGGATCGAAGTAACAAAAATAGAAAAAGACTACAATGATATAAACGAAAACTTTAAGTCCTAAAATAGTAATTACCAAAACTTAAAAGTTAAAAATAATAAAAAAAAATTCTAAAGGGATTAAAATAGCAAAACAAACTTTTAAGGGGTTAAACAAATTCCTTAGATTGAAAATATCAAATAATAATGATACTAAAAGTGAAAATAATCCCTAAATAATATTAAAGATTAAAATAAATTAAACAAAAATCTAAAAGAGTATATAAATAATTAAACAGGAAAATGCATTTAAAATTCATAATGACTAAAATAATCATAGGGGAAAATCTATAGCTTAAACACCATAAAAACTATAACAAAGAATAAATAAAATATAACAGAAATATGAGACAAAATCCTGAAGATTAACAAAGATGCATAATAATTAAATAGGGATTAAAATGAAACATTTACTCATACTAAAACTTAAACCATAACTTTCAAAAAAATAAATAATAATTAATAATTTTAGTTGAAGCCAAAATCTATTTACATAAATAAAGAATAACGTGAAATCAAGAAAAGAATAAAAATGTAGAGTCATGTTGCAAAGGTTAAATATTAAAAAAAAATAGAATGATCACATGCAAAAATAATATTCATTAGGCCTGTTAACGAACCGAACGCACACGAACGAATGTATGTTCATGTTCGTTTATTTAATAAATAAGCGAACATAAACGAACACGAACATAAACGAACAAAATTTTTTTTGTTCATGTTCGTTCATTAAGGAATATAGCTTGTTCATGTTCGTTCATTTAATAAATAAACGAACATAAACGAACACAAACATAAACGAACACGGACATAAATGAACACGAACATAAACGAACATAAACGTTGGAGACCCTACCTTACATTGTTCTTTCATGAAAAATAGTCGACAATGCAAATCAACCAAATCTACAGTGATAATAGCCTAAGAGCTGATTAGCAGTGATGAAATGTTTGAAGATATCATATATTTCGATCAATCTTTTAAAGATATTAAATGATTTACACAACTTTAGAGTTAATTTGTTCGAACACGACAAAAACATACATAAATCATAAATAAGCTATATGAATATAATAAAGTCTTAAAGTTAATTTGTTCAACAAAATAATCTTCTTGAAATCCAAACAACTTCAATAATATTCGTAACATATTCAACTTGCATTCATGATCAATCGTTAATTCATCATCCATCCTGATCAAAATCAAACAAATAAAATTATATTAAATTAAAGGAGTTATAACAAAAGATGAAAAATATACTAAATTAGCGAGGTTATACCAATTCATTCATCCTCATTTTCAAGGAATCTCAACATGTATGATATCTTCGTTTTGCTACAACAAATCAAAAAACCAAAAAATATATTAGTCATTGTAAAACCAAATTCATAAAACTTAAAACATAAAAATACCTTGTTTTTATTTTTCTCCAACCCATAGTATTGACGATACCAATCAGCTCCACAAACAAGCATATCTACCATATTAGTTCCTAAAGAGGATCGATGCGGATCAATAACCCTCCCACCAGCACTGAAAGCATATTCAGAAGCAACAGTAGTGACCGGAATTGCCAATATGTCAGCAGCCATTTTTGACAAAATGTTAAATTTAATATTGTTCTCCTTCCACCATCCCAGTCCACAGTCTTCATCTTTCCCAAGCCCCGAACCTTCCTACCATGCGAGTCCCTCATCTTCCTTATGCCCGAATCTGACTCGTTTCAATTCAAATACCTCGACTCACCTCCTTCCATTCCTCCGCAACATTGCAGCCATATCTAGCAGCGCTCCACTGACCTCGCCACTTTCTTCCCCTACTAGAGGATATAAGCGCAAATCTGACTGGGACTCCCTAAGGGAAACTCTAACGCGGATGACTGGGCAACGAGGGGTGGGCTGAAGAAGACCGACTAGTCGAATGCACCGTTCATAGCGGCGTACAAGGGGTTTCACATCGTTCAAGATGCCACAAAAAATCCCTAAATTCACACCCCAAAATTAACAGACCAAAAAAAAATTCAAATTATTTACCTTATGAAATCACGTTCAAGAAGGGAAAGAGATGAAGCTCTGTCGAATCGTTGTAGTTGAAGACTTGAAGCTCCGTCGAATCGTTGCAGAAATGAAAATTGTGGAGGGTGGGGAGAGTTGAGAATCAAGAACAACTGAATGACGGGTTGGAGAAGAGTTGAGAAAATATTGTTTTTAGATTTAGGGTTTTTTGTATTACCGCTTAATCAGGCTTTAAAATTGGGTTAATTATGAAGTTGGTCATCAAAATATCATATTAATTAATATTTTTAAGATACATACAAATTGGTCACCAAAATTGATTTAAGAATATTAGGTTAAACATAAATGAACGCACATAAACGAACATAACTAAACGCATATAAACGAACATAACCGAACGTTCACGAACGTAAATGAACGAACAAGACCTATGTTCATGTTCGTTCATTTAATGAAACGAACACAAAATCTTGTTCATGTTCGTTCATTTAATAAATAAACGCACATAAACGAACTTCCCGCTGCACGGTTCATGAACGGTTCGCTGAACGTTCAGTTCATTTACATGCCTAATATTCATTTTAAACCAAGTATCTACTCACGGATTAAACATACCACTATAAGTTAAAATTATCATCAATCATACAGGGTGCCCAACAACAAAACTATATTAACAAAATATTAAAACATATAAATGGTGACTTAAATTCAAAAGTTGAAAAATAAAAGCCCAAAACACAATAATACTTAAATTAATGACTATAATAAAATAATTGCAAATATTGTAACTAAAATAAAATATTCATATAATAATAATATATCATGTAATAATAGGACTAAAATAAATTAAATAAAAACATGGAATGGCAAATAACAATTAGACCGAAATACATTAATAGTGACTAAAATAAAAATAACTTATAATAAAATGCACAAATCAAAAAGAAATAAAATAGAAAATAACATAATTAGTGGTTAACACATAAATGACAAAACTTAAGTACCAAAAGTGAAATAGACAAAACATATATATTCGAAAACTAAAATGTAAACTATGATGATGTTATAGGGGTTTAATGCAATTTTACGCAAGTAATTGGTGTCCATTTTATAACAACACGCTAAATGTTAGAGGGTTTAAACGTGATTTTACGCTAAAATTAAGGGGATCGAAGGGTGATTAATCCATAAATAATGCGACTAAAGTGTAAAATACATTGAAACTTAGAATGGCTAAAATGTAAATGTACCAAAATAATTTTATATAATCTAATTTATTAACCCTAAGTGATGGGGACTCATAATTTCCATGATTGCCGTGGAATCAGGGGATTTGAATCCCATTTTGTTTTTTTTCCTTCTCAGCCGAAACACCCCCTTTCTCACAGTACTCGACTGTGATTCACAAACCTTCCACGCCGGCCACTATTTTGGTGGTCATTTTGCTCCGACTACACTCTTTCCAACCAAATGTAATCGAACAATAACCCAACCCCTATTTCTCTTTAAAAATGAAGTAAATAAAATGTAAAAAAAATCCTAAACTAACGTACACCATCCCATTCAAACCCAAAACTCCAAGATCTATCGACTCTAGGCTCCGGCGTTATTCTCGTTGAAGGTAATCTTTTAATCCTCTTTACTGTTTTTTTTAAACTAAATCTACTGATTTTATTTTCGAAATAAAATAAAATAAAATGTAAAGCTAAAAAACCAAATTTAAAATAACCTTTGTTATATTTGTTTTCAATTTTCTGTGTATTGCTCTTGATTTCTCCCCTGTTACAATTACTTCTGTTCACGAATGTCAGGAAGAGTTTCCTTTACACATAATGTTTACAATGAGTTTTTCCCCTCCTGTTGTTGATGAACCCCCTTTTGTTGATGAAGTTCTCTGCTCGAATCGTTTCTCTTCTTTTTCTGTTCGTGCCCCCTTTTTTTTGTGTTTTCTTATTCCTTTTTATTTCTCTTCTCAATACCAAATCCTCTTGTCATTGCATGCTTATTTTCTATGCGTTTGGTGAGATTTTGATGTGTTTAGTTGGGATTAGGTGTTGTTTTGACATGAGTTGTCGTTGACTTGGTAGATTTGTGTAGGTTTATTGATGGTGACAGCTCGGGATATCTCAGCTTGATATCTCTGCGATGGCTTCGGCTTACAACTGGTGGCGTGCGACTGCTGTTGGCTCGAGATGAGCTGGTGTGCGACAGCTGTTGGTTCGGTGAAGGATCTGGCGTGGCTGGGGAAGCTGGCGGCGACTTTGGTTTAGAGATTAGGGTTTCAAAAACCCTAAAGTTATTGGGTTGTCATTTAGGAT